CCCCCCCCCCCCGCCCCTGCGGCGCCCCCACTTCCCCTTGAAACCTGCAAGTGTCTAAGAGAGCTTGGGTAGAGGACCGCGCCTGCACGCGTCTCTCCCGCACGCCCCATCTCATCACGACGAGCCAATCGACCTGGTTTCCCACCGCGGTGGAAATGGCCGAGGGCTTTTATTCTGCGGACGTGGCCGCCCTCGCATGCTGAACAAAAAATAGCTCATTGCAAGGGCACGTCATTTTGGTACGAAGCATTGTTGTGGTGGTGCATGGGATTTCCGATGTGACGAGCTCGGTGGCACAACAGCCGGGGTCAAGACGCGTCGGAGTTTTGCTGGTTGGCGCACATCACGTCGATGCCATCTGTTGACAGCAGTTGCTTGGTCTTCCGTCACTTTCGGATTTGGTGGAAGAGCGGAGGGGCCGCCGCCATAGCGGATGGAAGGGAGGGAAGGGGGAGTCGTCTCTGCGTATCTGGTTTTCAGCTGGAGTATCTTGGTTACCGATATCACAACACATATCGGCCTACGAATTATTTCGCCGGTTCCGGTCGTGGGAACTACAGTATATGTTACGAAGGAGGTATTTGTACAGATGTGAAGAAGAAAATGCGGGGATACCGCGCAAGAAGTTTGCCTGTTCCTTCGGCGATGTATAATTTGTCGATATTCTGGCCATGCCAGTGTACTTAATATTTAAGAACCTTTGCTCCGCATGAGTGTGTTAAGCGGGCAAGGAAGGTATGGCAACAAGCGCTGTTTGCCCATCATCCATGGTTTCGTTGTTGGTGACGTTTTTGTCTGTGGTTGGATCATTATCCTCTTCGACACTTTATTTTGTGTGTTTTTTCAGGTGCTGTTAGCAAGTATAGACCATTGATGTCTGTGACTAGCGAGCTGCCGGAAAGACTGCTGCTGCTGCTGCTGCTCCTGCCGCTGCTGCTGCTACGTGTCTAGTCTATTGCCTCTCCTCGCGGGGCCACCTAGCTCGGCGAGGTCACCTCGCTCGCGTTCCGAGCAAGCCCTATGGCTTGTGTTCGTGCGGCGTAGGTTGCCCTGGATGTGGTGTAAGAGAGTGTCCACCTAGCGAAGCGACGGGTGTGAAGCTGTGCGTGATGTCCTCTGTTTTTTGCTTGTTGATACCGAAAGCACGGAAGGTGCCCGGGGACCATGTTGCTAGTGGGGCGGGCAGACGGAAGGAAATGCCTGTGTTGTGGGTCATGATAATGATTTGGATTCGATTATGGCCACCGATCAATTAACGGCAAGGACAGGGGGGGATACAGTCGGGGGGAAGAACCGGAGTACGAGGGTGCTGGCCCTGCCTCTGTTGTGTAAAGACACGACCGCCGAAAACGAAGTCGGCGTGGCCTGGCGGTTGCGCGATCTACGAGTTTTTGGAAACGGGCAGTCAGTCCAGTGAAAACCACGGCACCTTACCCGCTCGCGGGCCGTTCCTCTCCCCGTCCGGGCCGGGTTTGTTGTGATGGTCGAGTCACCAATTGGGCTGAATTGGATTACGACCGTTTTCGTACCCGACGAAGGGGAGGGGAGGGGGGTATCGACATGTACAGAGTGGAAACAAGGACAGCAGCGGGGGGATGGAGTTTGATGCGACACGGCGCCACAGGCCCGGGGGCCCCTGTGTGCAGAGAAAGAGTGGACCCAAAGTTCGCCAGGGAGAAACCGTCGTTTGTGTTGGTTCCGCGTGTAGTGCGCCGTAGGTTGATGTATCGCCCGTTTCACCTGTGTGCGGGCATGTTGGGTGTTCAACGGCCCATAAACGTCGCCGTAGCCCACCCGCGCAAGCGATCTGACGGGGCGAGAAGTGGCGGGGGTTTCAACAAATTTGTGAACACTCCGCATTGTGTGGACAGGGGGGAGGGAGCGGCCCGAGCATCCAGCAATGGCGAGATACAGATGACTTCCGCAAGACGTAAGACAACAAATCTGAAGATTTGATGGAAGCTGTTTTTTCCGACTTGTTGGTGGAGACTCTGCACCGTATCCACATGAAAGAGGAGCATGATATATATATATATATATATTTTTTTTTTTTTCTCCCATCATTGGACTCTGTCGTCTGCCCCTCTGGCCCCTATCCTCCACTTCTATACTAGCTAGATGACCCAACCGGGGTTACATAGGAGGGGGGGGCTGGACCCCCTCCTGCGGTTCCTGCGTGAGGTATTTTTATCGCGAGAAGGGTACAGCAATCCCTTCCCTCGCGACTCACGAAGTCGATTATGGTTTACTAACAACGATCATCATAGACCAGGATTTATTTAGTGAGAAAAAACACTCACCCTGCCGGGACTCGAATCCACGACCTGCCCCTTACCAGGCTGCGAGGTCACCTACTAGACCACCGGGGCGACCGGTTGTATATACAGTCTTTATATATATACAACTCCCCCCCCCCCCCCCCCCCCCCCCCC